ATATATTAAGTAATCCAAAGTATTCAGAATACGTTACTCTCATTGAGTAACGTAACGGAATACGTTACAGAATACATTTTGGGGCATGTATTCTGTAATGGAATACATTTTAAAAGTAACCTTCCCAACACTGTCTATTAACACATAGTGAGTGTCATATCTAATGATTGTTACCAGCAGTAATCCTTTAAAGTAGAACTCATGGACAGAACATGCAAGTGTTAATTTTTTTCTCCAGCTATATGAGAAACAAACAAAGCACTCAGACTGCGCACCAGATGGCTCCCCCAACTTTATGTGTTAGGAGGTGACAGTGTAAGTCCTGTGTGTCTAGTGCCTAAGGCTCCACAACAGGGAAATTGCATTCTGATCCAGTCCACTCCTGTGTGTATTAGTGTTATACAACACACTATTGTGTCTGGCATTTGCATTAGGGCCATGAAATTCAGCCCACTGGCTTTCACTATGTAGTGCAATGAGACAACAGTAGGAATTCCGGCTTATCTATTCCCATGCTGCAGCAAGATCACATTTACGCTTGGTCTTCAAAGCTACTCCACAGCCTTTTTATTGAAATGCATCACAAGAAAGAAGTGTATGTTCAGTACAAGAAAACCTATTTGCTTTCTTTTAGTGTGTAGATTTGACACAATGCGACTCTTACGTACCCGACGACAGAAAATTAGATCAGCCATAGCAACCGTGGCATGACAATCTGATGGACACGATATATAATCACCGACTTTGAGGCAGTGTGTGTTGGGTACAAGGTAGGGTAACGTGCTTGCTATTGTGTGGCTGTATGTGAAGTAGTCCTCTGTGTACCCATCATTATGGGCATTGAATCAAGCAAGCGGGGGCTGTTGAGAAGAGGGCTCCTGGGAGGCAGGCCTTGTCCTGTCACTACCAAAAAGGACAGACAGATAATAATAGAGACATCATGAGGGCAGGAGATAGGCTTTCCTTTTCAAAGTGGAAGATAGTGAGAATTTGCAGTGTCCCATCACAACAGGCTCACATCCACTGATTGGTCCCTGGCCTGTCTTAAAAAGGACGCCTTTAACTGCTCTTTCAAAGACAACAGATGCCAGTGCAGTGTGTCTTCAGAAGCAAAGTATCATACATACAGTAGGATTCTGAAAAGAGATGGCTGTTCTATTTTAGTGTTACCTGACATCGGTTGGGAAGATTTGCACATTGTAATAATTTACCTTTTTGACTGCGTGTGTGAAAGCAGATGTATTACACTTTTGATATATTCAGACCTCACACAGAATGACTCATTGTTTATCAGATGTCAAAGCATAAAAAAACAACAGGCTCTCATGCAAAGAAGGTGCAAGAATGTCACATTTCCTTTAATATATTTAGTTGAAAGAATTGTGCGTTAACATCAAAGGATATATGCTTTTCAATAGTTTCTGTAAATGTTCCCTCTGGTGCTGGTCAAAGTTTACATTTGACTGACATAAATATATATATATATATATATACATATATATATATACACACACACACACACACACACACACATACATATATATGTGTGTGTGTGTGTATATATTCTACTCACCAGAGAATCAAGTTTTAGGGATTGCTTTGTTTTATTATTTTCATTGCAAACCCTGTGTATAGCTTTGGTGTTATCAGCAGTAGAGAGACAGAGGTATTGAACAAACTCCAGAGAGTCACTTCAACAATCTGCAATGTTTACTGGATTAGACCTCCATGTTGTCTTCATAACTCAGTTGAACCGACTTTTGTAGACGTATCTCTCTCATCTTTTGCTCTCAACTGAATTAAACGAATTGTTTTGCTTCTGAAACCCCGCACATTTTTTCCTCTGCTACGCTGGAAATATATTTTGCATTTTGTTGGCCCCTGCTGGCAATGACTTTAAAGTATAATAGCATTGTTGTGCTCTTAAGACTGCCTTTGGGTTCACTGTCAAATCCAAGCCAATTTAGGCTTCTTTTGAACAGATGATGGAGCACACATTAGGCATGCAACAGCAGCTGCTGAATGACCACAACAGTGTGGCATTCATGAAGTGCCAGGACAGGCAGGACAATGGTCTCATCCTGAAATAATTCTCTGAAAATATTGTTTGGATGTGTTTTGTGAGAGAAAAACCTCAAGTCTGACATATGTTGTGTCAAATGGTTTGTAAAGGTTTTCTTTGGACAACAGCCTGTTGTTTTGTTTTTGTTTCTCTTGAGTGCATTTCTGCTTGGCTTTTGAATTATTTTAACCTTTTGTCCAACATTTCTATTAATAACAGCATAATGTTGGACTCCCTTTGTGATAACATAGTAGTCTATTTGTCATTGGTATTGTTTTGGAGGCTGTAGTTGATTTTTCTTTTTTTTAAAGTTCATCCAGGCAGTGTCAATTACTCAAAGAGCACATACTCTGACACTGTTATTTCTCCTCTTGTCTGCAGAGAAGCCAATGGCGCAGGGTCCCCCAGGTGGTGTTATCGGGATCCTTGGAGGTGTTGTTGCCATTGGACTCATCATTGGCGTGGCTGTTACTGTTGTCATGGTCCATCGGCGGCAGCAGAAGACCCGCACTGAGACAGATAATGACCTGTGAGTACCAAGCCTCTCCCGGAGAATTTTGCAGGGGGATGGACAGGTGGTAAGATTAGGTGTGCACTCTTTGTCGCTCCACGAGAGAAAAAACACTTCGAAAAGGACGAAACTCTTTTTTTAGGAGAGTAAATGTGTTTGGAGACGGAGGAACATGCTGCAGACATGTCACTGTCTCATTCCCATTTATTCTGGGAGCCAGCAGTCTCCTTTCATAAAGGTCACGGTATGAAAATGAATTTAATTGCACTAAAAAAAAAAGAGAATGTCTATCTTCATTTACCAAAGCAGATAGAATCAATGATTTTTATTAAAGCAGCTATTAAGTGGTTGCTTGATTGTAATGTGGGCTGCAATGAGCCCATTTCCCATTAAAACACTATTGTTTTAATCACGGCTGATTGCAGGAGTATGTACTGCAGTCTTCTCGGGAAACATTTGCTTCTGTTGGATGGTCACAATATTGTCGAGAAGTTAAAGGAGATTACTTTGAGATTTTAAAGTTTGCAGGAGGTCTAGAGGTCGGGTCAGCCGATTGTAGAATTATGCAAATTCATTTTAATTTAAACAGTAATTAGAGTATGAACGACTTCTTTTCCATCGCTGCTTTTGCAAATAGATATACCTCAAATCAAGCACAATTTAGCAAGGCCTGTGATGCAGATCTAATGGTGAGGTATCCTATAAATGTAAACTTTGTCATGTATTCTCAAATAGATGGTGTAAGACTTCTTCTTGCATCCATTAAGACATTCAAACTGCTGAAGACACATTAAGGGGCCTTGGAACTCTGATGTTATTTACTCTGCAACACCTCCTCCGGCCAACCAGGTAATTTTGTTCTGTCTGCAAACCAGGGCCCATGACAATTTTCAGCGTTGCCAGCTGCTGCCCATACACAAAGGAGAAAACAGAAGTAGCAAAGGGTGCAGCTGAGAGAACAATAAGCAACAGAGCTGTGAAAATCTAAAATAGCTTTTCGCGTTATTTCGAGGTACTAAAAGTCTCTGCCATCTGGTTTGGAGCAATTGTCAGAAATCTGTTTTCAATGAAGAAGGAAACACGCATTCAAGTTGCGTCCTGCTAATTCCCTTCATCTAAAACACCTGGCCAGGACAGATAGCTCAGCGGTTGCCAAGGGTTTTCATGATGCTCTTGGCTTTTCTGAATATACAAGATTCAATTCACATTCCCATGGGAATGATGCTGCTGTGAGCATGAGCTGGCTATCTCTCTCCCTGGGATTATTACCAAAACAACTGAGGTTGGGGGGTGTGTGCAGAATCTGGCTCAGGGTGCACATGAGCCTTTAATCAATTCAGATGATGAGATTACAATGCTTATTTTAGAGGTCCCCCTCCAGAATCTTCTAGCTTATTTGATTATTCAAAGCGGTGATGCTAACATCAGACGAGGCGTTCTGCCAGGTTTTTGGTCTCGGCCGGCTGCACGTTGTGGTGCTCTGTGGTGGCAGCAAGTCCACCAAGTCTGAGGCCACGCAGACGCAGAAACCACACTGCTTTTAGCTCTCTGCATTGCCTTTCAAGATAAATGAAGCACACAAACTCTTACCGCTCCCATTGCTTTCTGTCTCTTTCTCCCGCCTTGCTAATCTATCTTTCTTTCTCACTCTGATGCCAAAGTAACTGCTCTCTGTTTCCCACTCCACTCCCTCAGCATTGCTGTTGCTGCTGTTGCTGATAGTTGTGTGACACAGGGTCCTGAGAAGCCAGAGTCCCCCACAAGGAAAGTAGAGGCTCCTGACCCCAGTCTATCCCCTGCTGATCCCTGTACTCCTGGATCCTCTATTCTGTTGCCTGCATGTAATGGTGGCCTGCAAGTGACATACTTGAGCACACCATTGTGAGCGCTGAAAGCAGCAAATGATCAATAATCATTCACTAACGAGTCACACTGCACTTGATGCCTAAAATTTGAGCAATTTCTCGGCTTGCTTTGACAGCATACAGCAAATAAATACTTTGGAGTGAAATTTAGGCTTTACATATCAATCCGATGAATGGCAAAAAAAATAAACTCTTACATCAAATAACGACAATGATGTTTGGAAAAAAGAAAGAATGAAAATAAAGCTTGATGAAAACAGTTCCACGACCAATTAAACCTTATCAGAATTCTTTAGATGGAAAATCCAGCTCCACTTAGAGTTTATCCGATTCAGGGAGCTTGGACAGAACAGAATTACGAGGCGAGATGAGAGTTAACATACATATCAAATTATTAATCAAACAGAAATCCGCAAGCTTATAGAGGCTTTGTTTTACATAAGCTGATGCTGAGTGATAATGTCTTTGACAGACCACACTGTCCAACCTCTCTCCTCCACCTCTTGCTCTTTTCCCCTCCTTTTGTGTGCATGACTCTCATCAAATATGCATGACAACAGTTGTGCCAGTGCTGTAAATGTTGTTGTTTCCCACTAGTTTGGCATGTAATGCTTAATGTAGTGAAATGTGATTCAAAGCTTTAATTGTTCATATGAATTTTTGTCATTTTTCTGTGGCTTGTCATCAAATATGTTCAGTGTCTTACTCAGAAACTGTTTACTTGTTCTAGTTTAACCGTTTAACTATGTGGATGCAGAAAAGTTGCAAAAGAATGTGTGGGGCATATTTCAATGTAGGGGGATATTCATAGTTTTATATGAGTGTCTAATGTCAGAGTAAAGGGGAAGCATTTAGCCAGACTGTTTAATTCTGCATGTTGATGAGCTGTTAATCAAGCCTGGGCATTTGATAACATGCCTGACTGCACCGCCAGTCACGCCTCTGTTTGCCCTAACAAAGCAGCACATGATGTGACTCAAAATTGGTCAATCCTAATAAATCACTGGCCCTTTAGAGGCCGCACTGGCACAATAGTCAACTGATTATCAAAATAGATGGGCATTGTCAAAGGCGATGTTCTCAGAATAATATGTTCATCGTTCTGTCTTTTGCCCGGGTGTGATGTATGACCTCCAAAATGCAGAAGAGCACTGCCAATTGTGGCCAAAAAAAAAAAATCCCCCCATCTTTTGAGTGTTCCTGACATGCAGCTGGTGTTGACACAGTTGTAAATACTTGCTTGCATAAATCACTTTGTTGCCAAATTTCCAGTCATATTTACAACAGTATCTGAAAAGTATTGCATGCAGAATGTAAAACGGATGTTTAACCATGAGCCGAGAGCCCATGTCACGACACAACCGTGATTAATTTGAAGTGAGCACAGGTTTCAAACTTGTTCTGAGACTGAAATGTAGCATAACTGGAGGACATTTGGACAAACAAGAAGTACACAGTACTGCTAAGTCAACAAAGTTAGATTTCACTTTGAGATGTAACGTTAGCAGAAGTGATTTGTGGAGACGTGATTTGTTTTTGTGTACCCTTTGGTCTATAAACCGGTCACCAGTGCTTTTCACTTTTGCTGTGTGGAGACCTTTTAAATGTGATAAATGGTAATTTCTTAATGGACACCTTCTTGCTTTAAGCTGTAACCAAAGTAGAACTGTCTTTCTTGTCTTTCTGAGTCACTCGACATGGACTGTGTTGTACTCGGTGTGATTTCAAATGATTTGCTATTGTTATTTATGCATAAAATGGTGCTTGGTTTCTCTGTACAGAACGTTATACATGCAGTACAAATGTTTATAACAATCACCTTACGTCTATGTTTTTGCATAGTAGTGTATGTACACTAGTAGCATTGCCTGAGGTGTTGAAAAAGGTTTGGAAAGTGACTGTTTGTGTACAACTGTAAAGTTAAGTGTTCTAAAGAGCAAAATTTTCCCCCAGCAACAGAAGTAGTTTTTGATAAACTTGTCAAAGAACAAAAACACAATTTTGCTTCATTCTTGTTTTTTTTTTTTTTTTTCCTTTTTTCTCTTGTGAGAGAAGAAAAAAAAGCTGAGCTTTGCAGAGTAATTGTTGTCCGCCTTTTGAAAAGATCGGAGCTAGACAAAGCATGAAAGTAATTGCCTCCTAAAGATCAAATCACATTTATCCCGTCTTGCAATTAAAAGTATCATTAGCATTTAAATTGCCAAATAAGATTGTGATCAACAGAAATCAATGAGAGCACAGAGGATCGGCTCAAACACTCCACGTTTTTTCCACGAGCAGGGCTGCAGCCGTACGGCGGCTCTCTAATCCAAACGCTTGTGGGAATGCGACACTTCACTTTCTCTCACATGAAGTGGACGGAAAGAGGGTTTTCTGTCACCTTCGAGAACATCTTAATTCTGAGTGTGAGCTTGAAGACTTCCTCAATGGTGCGAAAATTTCAGATAGGAAAGTCGCTTTTTTGTGAGTGCATTGTAAAAGTCATTTTCTTTGCTGTAAATCTTCCCTCACAGACTACTCTTCTCAGTTTAAGGATTAGTTATGTTTTCTCCTTGCTATCCCCTTTAAATCTCCCCCTAAGCTGCCCTGAGCCTTTTGTAGCCAACAGAGCGAGGAGGAGCAAGGTCTTCAAGGTGGATGTCTGAGTAGGAAACACTGCAAACTTGAATGTAGCTTATGGTTCCCTGCCCAGTGCTTTCTGCTCCCCACGGGCTTGTGTTGCTTGTCAGCTTTCATTAGTGTCTGCGTTTTCACAGAGCCAACGCCCCCATGCTGCCTGCATCACATTCAGCACTAAGGAAGTACGAGATGCACATGTGGTGGTCAAGCTGTGCGGGACCGCAACGTAGCTTATTAATGACTGACTGAGATCGCATCATCTGCATTCCTGAAGAGCGCACAGATCTGTAGCAGTGAATATTTCGCTCATTTTTACATGTTGACGTACAAATATTAGCAGAAAACATCTCCAATATCCAGTCTTTTCCAGGGGGTTGATATATTATGCATTACACTTTTACAAATTCCAAAATTGCAGTTTGAACAAAAAGCTTCTCCTTCCAGGAATTTTAAACCAAGAGCATGTGCACATATTTTTTTAGTTTAAAACTAACTTACTTGCCGTGAGAATAATAATGGATTTTCTGTGTGAATAAATGTGAGCTTGATATCAATATTTCAGGTATGTTCATTCTACTTCCTAATAATGTGGTTTAGATGGCCACGCATAACAGCTGGCTAATTTAAAATCTGTCTGATCCTCTGACCACTTCTTTTGGCACAACACAGAGTGTTGCTGTGGAAGATCTGAGAAATTACTTGGAGCTCCAAATTATTTTTGCTAAAGGAAATTATGGACCTCAACTAAGACATTCAAACCCAAACTACAATAAACAGTAATCTGCGAGATAATGATTGCTTATTTTCCTTGATTTTTGATTGCGGTGCTAATGGACACTGGTTTGACTCACAGTAAAACACAGAGATGGTGGATAGAGTTGTTTTTGGATATTTTTTAAAAGTGGCTGCTACATCGTAACATGCAACCATTAAATCTTAAAAATAAATTTTATTTTTGACCTTTTCTTGGTTTTTTTTTCTACTTCCTCCCCTACAAGTATACTATACATACCAAGTTCTTTATATTATTAATATCAAATACGGAATTGATATGCCGACTGAATGACCGGCCACACACATGCTGTATATCTATCTTGGTATTTTCTTGCGTGAGCTGTAGCTGTAGCTGTGCTATACGTTCTCCCTCTCTGCACACACAGCACTTCATGAAACGCTTGTGCTACTTTTTGGTCTGTTTTCCCACCCTTGTGTCAAACAGTAGTGACAGTCTATGCACTGATGTTCTCCTGAGACTGCTTCTTGTGTGTAATGTGATTACAAAAGTAGCTGGATGACAGGGAGAAAGTTGTTGCCGTGGGGTGGTAGTCACGAGACGAGGGAATTTCTTCATGTTTGGTCAGATTTAATAAACTCACTCCGCATAAGGGGCCCCAGCACACTACCTATTTGAACAAGCTCCTTTGCAATAAAATGCAATCATTGGAGGTCCTATGGGATCAAACGTAAGTTCAAACGAATTCAGCAAATCATACATAAAAAAAATCAGATTTCATCCTGCTTGAATAAACCTGTCGAATCCCGATGATGCATAACTGATTTATCTCAAACTACAGTAAAATCAAAATCCAGTCGGGCATAATGTTGTAATGCTGCATGTCCTTTTATAAAATTCCAGTTAGGTCATTGCATGATGTTCATTAGTGTTATGTTTCAGCAAACTGAAAAAAGACCGTTATCTGTTGTCTCACATACCGGAGACAGACAGAAGCAAAAGATTACACTTAGTATCACACATTTCATGGATACAAATGATCTTGTCTTGTCTTAAGTTCTCACCTGTATCAGAATCCAGTCAGTCATAAGCAGTGAATTATAATACTTTATAATGAGCACACTGCTGTACCTGTGAAAACCGCATTTCCACAAGACTCATAATTATCTGTCTCAGGAAAAAAATGGATGTTTCTCCTCTCAAAGCTCTGCAGCGGAAGGCGTTATTGTTGAAAAGCTAGTGTGCTGCACGCTGCCTTTCTGTGCATTTGCTGTGCCTCTGTGCTGCAGGCAGGCTGAGGAGGGTGCCACATGAATCTGGCAGTGGCACGGCAGCCCTGTCTGGAGACAAGGTGATACGGACTGGAAATAATGAGCGTGAAAGAAAGAGTTAAGAGGTGCACTCATGCACAAATTTTCTGCACATTAAAACGGCAGCATGGCCTTGCGGAAAGGTCATGTTATTCAATAAGGACGTGAACCAGTGCGAATGGGAGGCGGGAGGAGCTGGAGATAATGCATGTAGGTACACAGCTCAGTGTCTGTGCTCCACTTCATTATCTTTGATCACTCCTGATATCATGTCAGAATACGACAGATGACATCCGACTGCCAGCGTGTTTGAGGCAAGGGGGTTTTCGTTATAACGATTCCGTAGCAACAACCCTTCTGCTTCCTTGTCTGAGATAATTATACAGATACACATCAAACTATTTCAGCAGAATGCTTTCAGTTACCGCTGTCTTTCCTGATCACATTTTATTTCAGTAATTTTTTATAATAACTCAGGATGACTCTGTACAGAGTGGCTTTTACCTCCATCGAAATTTGATTGTTGCTGATTTACAGAAAACGGTTGCTTACTCCATTGTTAATAGCGGCGTGTAAACGAGCACAGGTGTTCAGTTTTTGAGGCTTTGTTCTTACCCAGGTGTGCCAACAGAGGGGTGGCGTGAGTGCCTTGGGATTAGAGGATGTTAGCACCAGGGATCCTGAAAAAGGTGGAGAGCTGAAGCCGCCTGCCGAGCTCTCCGTGTCACAGCTCAGGACTATATGTCAAACAAACAGTCGCTGCACAGTAGGCAGGGTGTTTGTCCACGTGGCACTCTGGATGAGGCTCAAACCACCCTTGACTCACACATGCCCTTCTCCCTGCCCCCTATACCCCCTCCATTCCTATCTCCTCACTTCAGTCCAATTACAGCCTACTCTCATTAGCACAGTGTCTCTCCAGCGAGAGCCTTTGAAAGGGCAGGGATGGCTGCTGCTGCAACAAAGCCACCAACACGAGATCTATCAAAATCCAAGGAAAGAGTGAAAAAGGCAAGTGCAGGCAGGACTTCTCATTATAGAGTGGTGTAGAAGGTGAGGGACGTAAAGAGTGGCGATCCCTTACTGTGCTGAGTGTCATGTTATCTTTTTACTCTCTTAACAGGACTGACCTCCCACCTGCGCACAAACCAGCCCCTCCTCCACCCAAAAAGAAGAACAGTGACATGAAGGGACACTTGACATCTGATGACATCCAGGTAAGCTCCTCCCCCTACTTCTTTTCCTTGCTTATTCTCCTCCTCTGTGGCTGATCCAACACAAGGTATGACAACTTTGGCAGTATCTGTCTCTTTCATATGAAATCCAAGCCCAAATATATTTTTAACAAAAGAGTGATGTGATGTTTTTTTTACCTCCATATATCTTTAAGAGCAGCGAAGCAGCTTAGGTCTCTTTTTGTTTTTGAAAAGTTATTTTCATTTATTGGATTTTCAGGTGAATTTTTACATCGCAAAAATGTCAGTTTAGTGCCGTGAGCCTTTTGTGTGTGTGTGTGTGTGTGTAGGTGTGTGTGTGTTTCTCGTCTTACACAGCTGTCCAAAGCAACTGTCATAAAGACGGTGAATAAAGTTAGCTGAATATAGAAATGTCACAATCTCCAAGTGAAGCCGATGACATGTAACATAATTATCCATGTGTGTAATTAATTTCGCTCTTAATAAATAAAGTCATTTTCAGTGGGCAATTTTTGACATATAAATAGCGACCTTGCACTGCAGCAGGGATATGAAAAAGAACTTTGCTGCTTATAAAAGTATTGTCAGAGATTTTTATCTGTACTTTGAATATGCTGTGCAGAGAGTCTTTGACACTGTCCATTTTATTATTTAATCACTGCACACAGTACAAGTGCAGTATGTTAAACGAAGCTGTTTATAGCTTGCAAAGTGTGACTCGAGTTTGATAAACAGCTTAATTTCTCACAGACTCTTAACCTCAAGACATGTTTTCATCATTTTAACAAGCAGTGTTTTTTATGTTAATCAGTGACAAACTTACTCGTCACTGATGGGAATCTAGTGATTCTCATCAGTGATAATTTGCTCATCCCAACTTTGAAGACTGCTGCTGAATCCATGGAAGTTGTACTGTCTGAATGTACAATAACAAACATGCAGAGCCTGGAGTGGTTGCACGGGAACCACTTTTTACAGTGCTCCCTCCCGCTGAAGTTACTTCCTGGCAACATTAAAGAAATTTGCAATTTTCTCAAGTCCCCAAAATTTTACTGTCTCTAATTCTAAGCAGATTTGAGTATACTCCATTCAGACCTTATTTATATTGTCAGTACTGGAATGTGCTGTCATCTGGAAAAGATTAAAATAATAATTGATGGTGAAATAGTGCCAATAACATCTTTAAAAGCAAAGAAAAAAGTTGCAGTCAATCACTGGTTGTGTTAATGGCAAAAAAATTGAATAAAAGTCACATGCTCTAATATTAATATATCGGGTGTATTATATGCAGCCTGTATAAAGTAAGATGGCCACTCATGTGCTCTTTCACGTTATGAAAGTGCAGTTAAACCTCAAACTGCCTTTGGTGAAAAAGTATTCTGAACATGCCCTTGGAATTTGAAACCTCGCTTTCCATGGTCACACTGATTCTGCATAGCCTCCCTATTCATGTTTGGCTCCTGGTCTGTGTGGCCACTAGAACATTTTTTTTATTTCTTGTCGAGCTTCCATGAGAACACAATCCTTATATTGCATTAGGCTGTTTAAAGAGCACAGAACCAGTACTATGTAATTGTATTCCTGGATGTTCTGCCTCAACCAGCCCAATAGCTTTCCAGTCTGCTTATTGAAAACTTTACTGTAGCACAAGCTGTAGTTTAGGAAAACAAAAGTTACTCTCATAAGATTGAATGTGCAGCACTATTTACATGTGAAGTGTCATCAGGAGTGTGCAGAGGTTGCAGTGACTTTTACTGTTGTCAAGGACTACAGTATGTGAGAAACTGAGGAGCTAAAGAAGTTAAAAAAAAAAAAATGGAGCTATTAGGCTCTGAATAATTAAAGATTCACGTAACTGTCAAGTTGGTCACCACCTATCAGCACCGCTGAGAATTTAAATCAAACTTTGATACTTTTCACAAGCCCAAGGTCAAACTGCTAGGCATCTGGGCAGAGAAAGTCGTGGAGAGAGGGGAAATAATGCGCTCTTCTTCCTGCACAACTACTGCAGAAGATGACTTGAGCAAGGCATCGTAACCCTGACTGGTGATTAGTATAAAAATGAGGCTTTAATGGTCACATTACAGGATTTAATGTGTTTGGTTTTATGGCTGCCATTGCTTTAAAAGAAGGTGCACGTTCAGCAAACTTACATCTGGATAGATAAAAGTAACAAAAAAAAACAACAAAACAAAACAAGAAAACATCACGGCAGGTTTATTACACAGTGAGTAGAGAATGCATAGATAAGCAATCCTTCCCCCCCCCATCCCAACTCCCCAATAAAAGGTTAAAATGTCCAAGCAGATCCTGGTGTATGGATAGCTTCTTTTTAAACATGCTTTTATGAGCTACATTTTTAAAATGTTCATAAATAAAAACAAGTTGTTGAGAAATAATCTTATCTACAACTTTTAATCATATCGTATACCAGAAAAAAAAGTCTCTCGGTCGTGCCTTCATCAGTTCAGCTGGACAAGTTCATGCCCCGAAGCCTGTCAATCATCATGATTAGCTGTTTCTTTAAATTATACTGATCAGCATCTGCAGAGCCACCAGGCAATTTGTAATGACATAGTTCTAATTATTGTTCGCTGCTATTTTTTGCTCCGGGTTTAGCTTTTCAAGGGTTTCCTTTTGAGAATGAACTCAATGAAAAGCTACGAAATGGACTATTTGAACGAGAAATGAGATCAGGGATAATTTTTCACCTTCAAATGTAGTGGAAAGATTTTGTGGGTTATGCAGCATATCTGAATGTTACAACTGGTCTTAAACAGCTTGGTATTCGGGCATAGGTTGCTTGGTCACTTCATTGGGCGACAGAGCCGAAGTATCAGTGTGCGCTTCCTACAATTAAATGTTGTGTATTGCTGTGAATTAGACTTTGACAGCCAAACTCTCTATCAGGGAGTTCAGCGTCTTTATAGCTTGAACAAACGTTTCCCCCCAAGTAGTTGCATATGAAGTCTGGCACTCAGCTCACTGTCTGACCACTCAACCATTAAATGCTTCACCTTTTGATGTAACGTAAGTAGAAAAGTTCACACCACCCAGATACATATTATCATTCAAAAGCTTTTTTTTTTTCTTGAGTGGATGAAAAAACAGATTAAACAGAATTTGCAGGTATGAAGAGAGAAAACCATTGTTCGGCAACCATTATGAGTCTCACATTTTCATTGATAACCTCATTGTTCCGAGTGACTTTAATTTCTTTTATTAACTCTTATTTCTTTTCATTGCAAAATGTGCAGGTCTGACAAACGTTCTATGAAGGTTTCGCCTTCATTTGTCATTAAAATATTAATTAATTCCTTTATGCCATTAAGCTTGTCTATAGACTGTTTTGAGTACCCCACCTAAGAAACACTTTCAAGGTACTTTGATGTCAGAAGCATCAAATTTTGCTTTTGTGATTATGACAGGTTTTGACAGATCAATTAGAAGTACTCTGTGGGAAAAGTCTAACACAGACAGCCTGGTGAAAAGGAAAACTATAGGAGTGGCCCCCTTTCTTCACACAAACCCACCCTTCAAAACACTGTGCCTATTATGCCACAGAAAACTTGTGAAACAGCCAAATGTTTATTTCTAAAGTGAGAACCTTAACCCTCACACCTTGTAGATTTACAGTCATCATCATACAGTCATTACCCAATCTGAATATTTATCAGCGCCTAAGCGAAATTATAGTGCAACTCAAGTTGTTTTGGAATTTACATTGAGAGAAACCTGCAATTAATACGAACCTCAAGAAGCTTCTCCACTGACAAGATTTTCATATAACTAAGTCTTTCAGGCACCACATGAAGATACAGAGCCAACCGAGACAGTATAGCTCTTCAGAAGAAATAGGTCAAGTTTTCTAGGATGATTATACAACCTACCTGCTAACCTACCTTGCCAAGTGTGCATGCGGAAGACCACAGGAGGTGTTTAATGCCTCATTCTCACTACCCTTTTTAATTAAACAATGTGACACCACCTGTTGTTTATCAAGACTTTTATGTTGCATGTAATAGGTTACAGATTACAATTGAGTTGGCCTGAATTGACTTGACTTTATTGGTTTTCGATCTTTTCCTCTGGTTCACATTGAGTGCATTGATGTTTTCCCCCTGGGCAACCATGATTTACTCTGTACGGTCATGCTAGTGCCCTTTTCTGATTTCTGAGGCAAAATGTTGTTGAATTTCCAGCACTGAAAGGAACTGTTGTCCAGCGACAAAGCCACCTGCTTTGGTGCGGTCAGCTGGTCATAGACGTGATAGACAGGTTTCTTAGAGTGATTTGACAAGCTGATGAGAGGGGCAGTAAATACAGACAAGAGAACCAAATGAATTGAGCCTGTTTTGATGTAGACACAGCTGTTTTAACCCTTTAAAACCAGTCAGAGTGGGCACGCTCCATTTTGCGCACCTACTTTTAAATCCCTGTAGAACTGCAACCACGTAAACTAGCGCAATAATTTTTTTTGCATATGAAACCGGAGGAGTTGTATTTACATCTTATGCCATCAGCTTGTCCT